AGTAGAAATATACAAGATGATATATCATCAAGGCATCATCTTATCCACCAGTGGAAAATATCACTATCCATCTTTAAATAACGTGTTCTACTTTACAGCTTCTACCTTTCTCACGAGAATGACCTATAACAATAGGTTGCTAAAGTAAAAGGATCTTGACCAATGTTATATTTTTAAAACCACACATACACCACTATAAGTATTTATGCGTTCAAATCATTGAAAATTCTTGGTGAATATGAAATATTCATCTTACTAACTATAGTAAAAAAAAATAATAACACACCAGTTCAACGTAAATTTTATTTTACACTTTATTAATAAAACATAAAATTATAAGTCTGTTTATTGTGAAATTTCATACTGTCAGAAACTAATGCATTACAAAAGCACTAAAAACTAACTGATTTTCGATTACAAATGGTAACTCTGTTCCTTGAAGGAGCAGTATCATTTTAACGTAATTATCTGTTGTACAATTGACAATAGGTAGCGCCAGAGATACATAAAGATCTAGCAAATACGTATCAAAATAAGTGGACATAAAATTCTACAATATTAGACAGAGCTGTTTGTTTAAAAGTATTAACTGAATAAATATTGATGGCGAGTTCCTAAACTTCAGGTGATTTTCTATAATCCTTTGAAATGATGGTGTTGCATACAATGTTATTGTTGATGAAACTAGTTGAATGGATGGCAACTGCCTGTTGTATGAACACAAGTGTAGAGGACGACGTTTCGAAAGTCTTCCTTCGAATGTTGTTGTTGTTGTTTTTGTATGCTTCCTGAAACGGTAATAAACTATAGTTTTTATCACAACAATACAATTAACCAATGATTTTAAAATACTATAAACACCGACCTTTTAATTGAAATATAAGTATCGTCTCACTTGTGGGATTAGTAAAGATATAGCGATAAAACAATGAACGGCTACGTTTTGCCAGATATACAAGTTTATATTGTTACGTCTCCGTTTGTTAATTGATTTTCCGTAACTTCGTTCCGACGAAACTTAAGCGACACAAGTTCTTTCTTAATAAGAACTGGTTTATTCTTTCCAAATATAACTTTACCGATACACTCAACTTCAACAATCGCGCTAAACAAACGCTGTAATGTCTCTCGTGCTCTCTGACTGCAGTTCAATTACTCACTATCTACGCACACATTACATTCAATCAACGTCACGTTTTCCCCTCTTATATATACCCGCCTACCCCATCTAGCAAACACTAGAGCATTCGC